TTAAAGAAATTAGATAATTATTTAAAGAAATTTAGTTGAAATTTAGGCATACCTTGTTAAAAATTTGTTAATTAAGTTATTCAAATCAAAATTTGAATTGTTAACGGGTTTGGGTATAGACCACGAAACAAAAATCGTCATATTATTACTTCGAATTGTTAAAATCAAATTCAAATTTGAATCAGTCAAAAATCGATCCAAACCCAATCTGTCGATCGGCCTAACTAGGGATATTAACTACAAAGCCCTATTGCCATAAGCTAATTGGTGGTGGTTATACCCTAGGTAGTTTGGGGTGCAATTGTCATATGTGCTTATAAATAACAATGCTAGGGTTGTAGAAGGAAAAAGTGTAACTTCGTATGCGATCACTAAATCAAAATATTTTGTATTTGTTTGAGAAGTGAAAGTTTGAATATTGTTCAGAAACTTGTGCACTTGCCTTATTTTTGATAAATTGTCTAAATGAACCTCTTGAATGTTCTCGATAGAGAGGCTTATGCTTCGTTTTGTACAAGCGAAAAATAGAATAATGGAAAGTTGGAATGATATGAAATTTGAGGGACAGATAAAACATCAGTTTTGGTAAGGAAAAAAAATATGAAGAATAAAAAGTGGATAAATGAGTTTTTCTTACAACTCACCAGAATCAATCCTTCCAAAATTTGGAGGAAAAATGGATGAAAAGTTATTTATATGTGTAATTGAAATGTATGTTATTTGTCTATATATCATTTGATATATACATATATAATATTTATCAATTATATATTATGCATACATTAATTTCATATATATATATATATAAATATAAGATAACATATATATTTATACTTTTTTTAAAAAATAAAAAAAATACTTTCTCCATCTTACCAAACACAAAAAAAAAAAAAAATCAATAATTCATATTTTTCATCCCTCTTACCAAATACAAAAGAGGGAAAAAAATATTGAATGATAGAAAATATATTACTCCTATTTTTTTCATCAGATCATAAGGGTCTTTTGTGGTCAACAAACTATGACATTTTTTTGATGGGCTGAATTGGATATTGAGTATGTTTGAAGTTAACTTTTTAGGTGAAAAGTTATGGTTTGAAAAGTTCGCAAAAAATTCAGAATTTAAAAAGTCCTCTAAAATTGTTTGAAAAGTTCTTTAAAAAGCTGAAAAAATTTGTTTAGATTAACTTTATAGTATTTTTGGCTTTTTTTTTGTTAAAATAAAAAAATAATTATCTATTTAATAAAACATATAGAAGTTTGAATTTTTATCTCACACGTATTTCCCCCCCAAAATCATCTCATCACTCAATTCTATCACATGTTTAATTATTTAATATTTAATTAATTTGTAATTTAACATAATTATTGTTTCATACATTGTCTATACACGATAATGTACACATGTTGAAAAAATTGTCAGGTTATACATTTTGAAAAAATGTTGATGTTATTTTTTAAAAAATAATAGAAAGAAATTAATTTTAAATGATGTAATCAAATAAATGAAGAAATAAAAAATTATTATTTAGTATATTAGGATTAATTTTTTAAACGATCAAATTTTATATTTTATCATACTTTCAGACACGGGTTATAACTACTATATATATAAATTGTGCATAGTAGTTTCTAAAGTATGAATTTTACATTTTTTACGTCACTAAAAATATTTTATGAATATAAAAAATTAAAAAGTTATGTGGGACTCGCGACAAAACTCCAAAAAACTTAAAGAAAAGATCATAAAATCAACTTCTTGAATCAACCTAAATAAAGTTTTTTTGTATCCAAAAAATTGCTACATAAGTCGACAAAAAAAATGAAAATTGGGGTTGAATCCTCTTTAGTAGACTTTTAATGAGTTTAGTCTATCATTTAAACTTATTTGGGAATAAATTCTATTTTAATCTTACTAATAAATAGTTAAGTCCACAATTTTTTAAAATCTAAAAAATGCTCTTCATAGGAAAGACAACACATTTATTGGAAAGACAACACATTTGACTTGTATTCGCGTACCCATTTAATGTCTCTCCCATCTATCTCTGTGTTATATATATACTAGTTAATGTTCGTGCCCGAAGGTATTATATTATAAATTCATACATCGCATAGTTCAATTGCCAGTAAATAGTTAATTTACCAGTAAAAGCACATGAAATAAAGTAAAATAGCATATTTTCTGGCCCATGCAAACCTATTCCCCAATCAAAGAAATAATTCTAAAAACATAATTTCCACAATCCAATCCCTAAAAGTGGCACCTAATCAAAGTTACTCAATTCTTGAAAAGAAAACAACAAAAAAAATACAATCAAAAAATAAATCAACAATTAACCACCCACTGAATTAGTATAGAAATATAGGACCCTGCCAAATTCATCAAAAAAATAAATCAACAATTAACCACCCACTGAATTAGTATAGAAATATAGGAGCTTGCCAAATTTATCATAAAAATGCTTCACAAAGAGAAAAGAAAGAAATTTGCTTAGATGTTGAGCATTGAACAAATGACTAAATTTATCAAGATCAATATAGAGGCATAAACCAAACAAACTCATGAGTGTCTCCTTTAAAATTTGATCTCAATCCTCCATCATGTCTTCCTGATTTTCTACAAAAACAAAGAGATGAAATAAACATATAAACACTAAAATCACAATATAACACAACTAATTAGAATTATCATATAAACAAAAACAAAATGGATGAAGAAGTTCTTCGATTATCTATATTGCATGTTTTTTTCCCTCGCACCTTTATTGTGCTTATCACTATAGAGATTATCTTCTTTTCTTGGAACATTCAAATGACGTGTGAACTCACACTTGACAACATTAGCACACTACGCTACTTTATAGAACTCTCATACTCTGTTTTGATTGCAAAAATACATTGAAAAACAACAACGGCAATATATTCCTCTAAAAGGCATCCACCCACATTCTATCTCAAAAAAATATTCACAATAGCGACAAATAAAAATTGGTAGAAAAATTATTCAATCACTAAGTACACCTTTTGAATTACCGTGGTGCATCAAACAAACACCGAACATAACCCAAATTCCAATTCCCAGATGGCTTCACCTAGTATCTGTCTCCAGAATCAGCAAAGAAAGAAGGGAGGAGCGGCGCAGAGAGAAGAGAGAAAAGGCGACTGTCCACAATGAAGAACAAAATCAACTATGAAATCAGCAATGATTTCAACAATGAAACCAACTAACTTCAGTCTGTTTGGCAACGAAACAAAAAATGAAATCAACATCGAAATTAGAAAGGGGGTGCTGCTGTGGGTGGCTCTCATCTATGTGTGAGTGAGCAGAAACATGTGGAGAAATAGAGGGCCGTACTGGAGCAGTGCAGCGGGAGAGAGAGGGAACAACGGAGTATTAGGGAAAACATCAATTGCGTAGGAAGAGAGAGGAGCAATAGGTAAAGATCGCTTGATAAGGATCAAAGATCACATTGAGATTATGATATGGAAAGAAGATCAAAGATGCCCAAATTTGAAGAGAGAGAGAGAGGGGCAGAATCGAGGGAATTATCGGCCAACGAGGAAAGATGATTGTATTGTAGGATTTGGTGAGAGAGAGAGAGAGATAGAGTTGGGGGGAATTAAAGGATATTTCTTTGCGCACTAAAATTTATATTAAATTAATTATAATCGTTGCATCATTGATAGGATTCATTGATCCAGTTATTGCAAGTGATTTGATACAAATTTAGGTGTATATTTTTGTGCATATAGCATTGCTTGGAATTAAATTTAGGAATGCCAATTTTGGTAACTAAATTTTTTGGGCGATAAAAATTTTTTAAGAGTTAATGTGGTACTTCAGATCGAAATGATTTGAGATATCAATAACTCAAAACAGTTTGTGATACTATCATTTGTTGAATGATGTTTTTCTTGGTCTTGAAACGATATTGGTCGCGCTTTGTTTCTAAAATTCAAAACTCACTCTACTTTATTATATATATAACATTCAAATACAAAAAATAGTAGTATTTAGAAAAACAAAATAGTAACATTCCCAAATCAAAGATTTCTCCCCCTTTGTTTGTCTATATATATATATATATATATATATACACACATTAGCAATGCAATACGTGTGTTGCACGTGAAATTGTTTTTTTAAAAAATTTGATAAAATATATAAAAATTTAATTATATAATTAAATTATATATTATATTATATTTATCATACTTAAATTGTTTATAGTATAGATAAAGATAAAAAGATACATATATCAATTTTTTGGAACTAGAGATAATATTGTATCAATGAAATTATACATGTGTATTAATATTGAGATTTTTAAAAAAATTAATATTTTTATTTATCTTGTTAAGAGTAACATGATCATCTAAAAATTTGTATAATATATTAGAGGTTAGTTTGTGATTTAAATATAGAGGAATATAATAATAATTTATATGTACTCTTTATAATTTTTTATAATCATAAAATAGTAAATTAAAAGTTTTTCATGTAAGACAGTTTTATTTTAAATATATATATCATGTAAAATAGGATAGACTTCAATAAGCCTATACGACAATCTCAAATATATTCATCTAACGTCCATCAATATCTTTCTCAAAATCATTCATATTGCACTATGTCTTCAATCATAGGATACCCCTACTATATCTATATAATAAAGTAGAAAGATTTTAAATTTTAGAGATAAAGAGTAACCCAAATCGTTTCGTAATAAAAAAAGACATCATCCAAAGGATGACGTTAACTCAAACTATTGACGTCTCATATTATTTCAATTCGACACACCATATTAACCCTTAAATTTTTTTAACCGCCCAAAGCTTACTTTCCCAAATTAACATTCATAAATTAATTCTTTCCCTTACATTACACAAATCCCAATTGGTAAGTATCCCGCGGGCCCGCACTGTCTCACTCCCTCTCTTACGCTCTTTCTCTGTCCTGCCCCAATCTTTGCCTAAAATCTCGCCCCTCTCACACAATCTCCCCCATGTCTTTTTTCTTTCCCATCGAGAGAGAGAAAACCACAAAATTCCCCAAAATTTGTCTTTTCTATCTCCCCATCAACGCAACACGCCAGACTCCAGCTCCTTCATCCTCATTCTCTTCTTCACAGAGCCACCAAAGCTCAAGGCAACTAGAGGTAATTCTCTCCCTGTCTGTCTCATTCTTCACCAATGCTCAATACATATTCTGAGCACTCTCTTTTTTTGTTGCTCTAGGATACCGAAGTGGAGGGCATAGAGGAATTGTTGGTGAGGAATGGTGGGGCACCATGCTAGTTTCGATTACCCTTTGGTGATGCTAAGCATTGGTCTCTCTCTCTAATCTACCTAGCGATGATTGCATCAACACGTCATTTCTTCTCTGGCATTGTTACCTCTCAAGTACTAATCGATTTGTCATTCACCCCTCTCACTTGCTAGCTCTCTATTTCTCTTCCAAAGCAAATTCCATATTCGATCGATTCCAATTAGCAGCTTTCTTTCTCTAATTTGCCTTTGGGTACTATAGAGTTTGTGATTGGGTTTAGACAATTGAAAGCTTGAATTGCATGTGAATTTTATGGGGTTTTGGCTCAGATTTCTTAAATTTTGTTTGCTTCTTTAAGAGGCATTTCGACATTGAGGACTTATACTTGGACTGGTTCATTGTTTTGGCTGCTCCTTATGGTATGTTGTAGATGATGATTCCTTGAAGTTATTTAAGTGTGAGTATGTTTATTGGTTAAGAGCCTGTTACATAGTTTTTTATTGTTGGGAATTGATCTTCACACACACATTGCTTTTCTTTCTGCAAAAAAGTTATGATTTGTGGCTGTTCATGGCTTCACTCCTGGATTCGTGCATAATTGACTCAAAATTCTCACACGGGTCTGTTTCAGAAAATGATTTTATGCTAGGGACATCATAGGTGCGCACTTCCATTGACCGTTATGGTATGTGCAGGCAATTTGGGTTGTATATTTCACTTTGCATCCGCTGTTGTTTTTCTTGGCGTGTTCATGATTAAAACTCTCTCATGAGTATGTACATGCGCAAGTTTCAATTTACCAACATTGTTTCTAAACCTTTTCTTTCGATATAAAGTTTTATTTTGCAGAAACATAAAATATATTCTATAATTTCATGAAAAATGGTTATGAAAAATGATTGGAAAATGCATTGTTTGTTTCATAAAATCAACTTTATCAAGAATCATGGCTAACTTTTGACATTGCTGGAAGTCATGTGGTGGAACTCTTACGTTTTCCAATAATATGTTTAACATTATTGTTATGATTTCGGTGTATTAGAATAGGGTGGAACTCTTAAATGGATTCACAAATACTAGAAATAGATGACAAGTGTTTGTTTACAAAGGGTATTGCGTAATTGAATTGTGCTTTTTGTATATAACCTTGGCCTTGAGAAATGGGGTAAAGATGCTTTATGGGTTGGAGGAGTTGGCCAAGCCTTCCAGATTTAGCAAATGTGTTGGATAAATGGAGGCATTTGTGAAAGCAAAAGGGGAATGCTCTAGCGACGCCGCCTAAGTTGAAACAACAAATGTCAAGGGTGCTATGAGCACCACCACATTCGACAATTATTCATTTGCATCATTGATGTATCTCTTTAGTCATTTTTTAGGCCTTTCTAATTTGAATTTTTTCCCACGATGGTTTTTGGTGGTTTCCACATCATCGGTTATGCTTTCTTCAGTCCTACTTTTGATTTAATTGTCATGTATTCAATTAGATTATTTTGGATCCAAACATGATGGACACTACATTAAAGTGATTGAAGTTGCAATTTGATTTAACAAATGAATTTGTTGAGTTTATATGATACTTTATTAATGTCAATGCTATAATTTGTTCGCTAATTCAACACATTAGACATGTGGTGTGATGGTATTGGTGAGTCTTTGTGTGGCTTGATGGATACTTCCTTATTGGTAATGCTCAATTTTTTTTAATTGTTTTTTTTTTGTTACGAAGTGCGTTCAGGCACGAGCATTAGCTAGTAATAATCAAACACAAAAAATAATAGTAACAAGCTCCACCAAAAAAGTAGTAACATGTCAATAAAAAAATTATTTAATATTTCATGTGACTATTTTTTTATTGACCATGTTACTATTTTTTTGGTTGAACATGTTAGTATTTTTGTCAAGCATGTTATTGTTATTTTTTGTGTTTGAATGTTACTATTTATTATTGTTGGTTTTATACAATGGATAATTAACACAAATAACACTTGTTGGAATATAAAAATTTAAATACGTGAAAAAAAATAAAACAAAACACCAGAGATATAATATGGTTTGATAAAGTGTACCTATCGTGGTACACCGTACCTATTGTAGTACATCATACCTACATCTACGGACTAAAAATCTACATCAATATATTATTCATTGAAAAACTAATCATCTGGTGACTGATTACATAACACACCCCAATTTATAGGAATATAATATTGTAACCCAAACCTATCAAGAGACAACTTGATCTTTATGTTTTCTATCACATGTCTAATATACTTATTCATGGTATATTAAAACTTCCAATAATTCTACTTCATATAGGATTTTCACATTGATTATCCAACAAACTTTATTTCATAATAATTAGAAAGTTTGAGTCAAATTTCAGCAGTCTCCCTTGAACCAAACTTTCCAACTTTGGTCATGCCCAAGACTGAGCTTAGCACACTTAATTTTGATCCACCAATTTTTAAACACCATGTGCAAACTTACTTTTCTGAGTTGCCATAATTCTCTCTGTCTTTCAAGAGTCTGTTTCTTGGCTTGTATCATATGTGCATCTCTGTCTGCGTCTTACCTACTCTTGAGAGGTCTCAATAGTCAATGTTTTCATCATACAAAAGTAAAGCCTAGTGACTTGTAACCCACGAGACACTACATTATCACTATTGAGTTTATTTCAGCCCAATAGCTCCAAAACCATTGAAATACTGCGACTTCAACTCAAAGAGCCCAAACATCTGAAGAAACATTTTCAACACAACATGTGTGGTAATTCTTAAAATTCAAACAATCATGAAAGAACTTAGTCTTCTGTTTGGTTTCATACTAACTTTAATTTTTTTCTTGTGAATTTAAACAAAAATATGAAATTTACATACATGACAAGTGAGTATTCTTCAAGATGAACATCACCTTGAACATTGAATTGCCAACAACTTGTTTTGATTGTTGTATCAGGATCGTCAATCTAACTATGATTGTTCTACCAGGATCATCAATCTAGCTCTGATACCATTTGTTGGTTTTGTACAACGGATAATTAACACAAAATCACACTTGTCGAAATATAGGAATTCAAAGATAGGAAAAACAATAAAACAAAACACGAGAGATATAATGTGGTTTGATACTCCACGAATCAATAATTTACATCGATGTATTATTCATTGAAAAACTAATCATTTGGTGACTAATTATATAATGCACACCCCTATTTATAAGGATAAAATACTGTAATCCAAACATATCAAGGGACAACTTGATCTTTGTGTTTTCTATCACATGTCTAATATACATATTCATGGTATATTAAAACTCTTCCAATATAATCCTATTTCATATAGGATTCTCACATTGATTATCCAATAAACTCTACTTCATAATAATTAGAGAGTTTGAGTCTAATTCCAACAATTATTTTGAGTGTTAGTATTTTTTATATTTGAATGTTACTATTTTTTATTTGAATGTTACTATTTTATCTTATATATATGTATGTGTGTGTGTGTGTAAGGGAGAGATAAAATAGTCCAAATCTATATATAGATACTTATAATATAAAATAGGACAGACTTCAATAAGATCATCCAATGATCTCAAATAGACCCATTCAATGATCACTAACATTCCTCTCAAAACTATTCACATTATACCGTACCTTCATGCACGAGTTACCCCTATTAGATAGGTATGATAGAGAAGTAATTTTAATGCTAGTATAATTCTCAATGTAGGAGTTGTTAGTTTTTCTAAACAAGTTTCAATTAAATATAACTATTGAAAGTATTTTTGACAATGAAGATCAAAGTTAACTTTTTACCAAACAAATTTTTGTAGTGGACTCAAGTCTGCAAAAGGGGACCAGCCCCCAAATTTCTCATAAAAAAATTAAAATCTAAATGGACTTGACTTATTTTACTCCAAAACTACCTATTTAAGTTAACTCCAAATAAACCTATTATAAATTAGGTGGTTTCAAATCAGAAGTCGCAATAAAAATAAATAAATAAAGGTAAAAAAAAAAGAGAAAAAGAAGCTAAAAGTCAGAATTTTAAAAACAACTGTATGGACTCTTAGGTGAATGAAAGAGACATGTTTATGTGTATATATATATAATAATTGCCAAGGTGGTGAGATGGAATCTGAGCTAAATAAAAAGTTGTGTCTCTATTATGGGGTCGGTTTTCGTTTGATTGAGCGTACCAATTCTAATCGCCAATTGACAAATACATATGATGGTGTATTTCAGCGTGATGAGAATTTGTGATGACGAGTAAATGAAAGAAAATAAAATTGGAATTATTGGGATCTGAGCTACTAGACTCGAGTGAATGATACTGAGAATTGTCGGGGAATTGGGGAATTAACACAGTAGGAATATAGTGGTTCACCAGCTTGGGAGCTCGGTTAATCCACTCTCTAATGGAGACTCTTACTCCTTGTCTTTCAATAATGATGATTGCAAGAGTACAATGACTAGTTTTTACCTTTAGAGTTCCCCCCTTTCCTTGGGGGCGTTACATAGTATTTATAGGGTTGTTCCCTATTCAGTAGGATCTTAGCCGAGATTCTTGCCCTTATTTTGTGGGGTTCTCCTTGATTATAAGAAAAGATCTTGGTTGGTTGCGATTAGGTGTCTCGATTATTGCTTCCTAACACTTTTAGGAACCTCTCGTGATCTTCCAGTTGTTGCCTTAGTTGTTATTGCCCTTGCTTATCTCGAAGGGACCTCCAGCTCTACTCTTTCGAGTTCTGTTCGTCTAGTCTGACCTCTTGGGCTGAGCTGACCTTCTGAGCTGGCGTTTGGAATTTATTTTGAGGTATCATCAGTTGCCCCCCAGCCCTTGGCCCAAGCGAGCTTGGACATGAGTTGAGCTGTTTTTACCTTGGACCAGACCTGCGCCTAGCTGACCTTAGCCTGCATGTGAGATGCACGTGGGAGGGGCTTTTTGATGGTATAAGCAATCATGACTCCCTTGGTTCCGGCGCACGCCTCACCCCATGTCTTTCAAGCCTTAAATGCTCGAAACGGTTGAAAGAAAATGTACAAAACCACTGTTCATCTTCTATGTTGTTCACCTTCGTCTGCTTTCTTCCACGCGATTCCCTTATTCTCTACTCTAAACTGTGCTTTCTGGGTTCGACTCGAAGTCCTGCTTTGTTCCTCTCCTCCAATTTTGTTCTTTGGCTGCTGTTTGTTGCTCTTCTTCCCTGTCTAGGTACGCTTCCTTATGCCCATTTCTCTTTCTGTTGCCTTTCCTCA